GACACTAGAAACCCCTCGTTTTTCTTCTTCCTGTCGTGTGTGAAGCTAACAGCATCCATCCTTCCCTGACCACATTCATGCATGCTTTCATGTGCACATTGACAGGAAGACGTAAAGCAGATTCAAAGAAAGCTCTAGAGAGAGTGCTGCACGGCTTGTGCAGAGACAGACAGCACCGTGCTTGCTGCTGTTTCTGCCTTTGACGCGGTGATGGGGATTTTCCTCTCCCTCTCTCTCTGTTGCGGTAGCAGACGTGGCCAGCGAGCTGTGATCAAACTGTGCCTTCATCCCTCCTCTCCCTCTCATCAGCTGGAAGGCTTCAGCAGCAGGGTGCCCCAGATTAACAGGCCACCTCCCTCCTCCCATCTAGTGCAGATGATGCTTCCTCTCTATTGTGGAACACTACTGACACCTTCTGGTCAGACAAAGGACACAACGTGTGGCAGTTCGAACTGTGGGATTTTCTAAACTTCATGATGTTGACCTGGTATGACCATAGCAGTCATTTTCTTACAACCTCTTATTCGCCACTTCCACATTTTTACCATCAGACTGAAGAACAGCTGTGTATAAGTCGGAGTTCAACACCGTGCCTTATTCATCTTGGACTGGGCCTTCGTGCAGCTCCAGTGCGGCTTCATCTGAAACAAGCCGTTACAGCTCTGTTTGCCGTCTCTTCAACGCTACTTCTTCTTCTTGTCCAATAGATGGGTGGGGCTTGTTTCAGTGACATCACACAGAGCCATGAGGAAAAAAACCCCTGAAACTGAGTGTTTACTCTGATCTTATTTGAAACTTAGGGCATGTTTAATGTGAGTATTCAGGATTGTAAGAGCATATACACCAATCACGCACAACATTATGACAACCCTCTTAATATTCTCTTCGTCCCCTTTTGCTGCAAAAACAGACCCTTTGGGGCATGGACTCCACCATCCCTGAAGGTGTGCTCTGATATCTGCACCAAGATGTTAGCAACAGATCCTTTAGTCCCGTGAGCAGTAAGGTGGGACTGTGGACCAGACTTGTTTGTCCAGCATATCCTACAAATGATTGATTGGATTGGATTTAAATCTGGGCAATTTGGAAGCAAAGTCAACACCTCAAACTTGTTGTGCTGGCAGGGTTTCCATGAAAGAGTACACATGGTCTACAACAATGCTTAGGTAGGTGGTACGTATCAAAGTAACATCCACATGGATGGCAGGACCCAAGGTTTCCAGCAGAACATTGCCCCAAACATCACACTGCCTCTGCTGGCTTGTTTTCTTCCCATAGTGCTGCCAGGTGTTCCTCAGGTTAGTGACGCACATGCACCCGGCTATCCGCATGATATAAAAGAAAACGTGATTCATCAGACCAGACCAGCATGAGTCAGCATGGGCACCCTGACTGGTCTGCAGCATACAAACTGTGATGATTCTGACACCCTTCGATCAAAGCCAGCATTTATTTTTCCAGCAGCTTCGGAGATGCTCTGACCCAGTCATCTATCTGAACTCACTCAAATCCTTATGCTTGTCCATTTTTCCTGCTTCTAAGCACATGAACTTTGAAATAAAATGTTCACTTGCTTCCAAATATATCCCAGTCTTATTCAGATGTGCCAGTGGTCATAATGTTATACCCGATTGGTGCATATATGCCATAGAAAATATGGAAAATACTGATTTGCAATGGTACCTTTGAATTCCAGGCTGCACTGCTGCATCTGATCAATACTCCCGATAGATCAATCAGAGGCTGCAGTGGTTTCTTGTATGTGGTAAGTGGTACATCAGCGCCAATTCTCAATTAATACCAGAATGTGGTGTTAATCTAGTGATTGGCCCTCTGGCAGAAACACATGACTGAGAGTTTGAACAGCACAGCAGAGCAAAGAGCCATTATCCAACAACACTAGATCAGCAAATACCTTCAAATTACGTTACTTTTTTCCCTCCATCACAGAGGAGCGTAGCCTGGCTCGCCGCACCTCAGAGGTCACTTTGGGTTGAGCACCGTCAGGGACTTTCTCTCTTTGTTCAGTGGCGTATTATGTAAGATTGTATCTGGGCTTTTTGTGCATGCTAGGCCAAATCTAATAGGATATAACAGTTCTATGCAAAGCTCAAATTTTTCTTTTTTCATCTAAAGCTGCAAAATCAAAAGAAGTTAGCTTGACTCAAGCTGAGCAGTGCACAGTGATACTGTAATCACTTCAAAGCACAGACGCTTTCCTTTTCCTTCTTCTTTAAAAGTATAGAAAGAACAGTGAAGCTAACACTAGCATATGAAGGTCAGGCCACGGTGATGTGAATGTGCAGATTAGACTCTTCAAATCAAATGACACAAAGTCTTTAATCAGTTGTACATGCATTGGCACAATATCACATTTTTATTTATTTTTCTTTTTAGCTGTGATGTGAAAAAAAGAACCGTGATGCATAAAAAGGTTAAAAAAAACAAATGAAAAACATGTACGCTGATGCACCAGGACTACGCATACTTTTTTTCATCTTTTATGAATGTTGCAAGCACCTCTCTTTACAATACTGTTGGCAAGTCATCATTTAAAAACATGTTTGCAAAGATAAAAAACAAAGAGCACGGTAAACGCAATGCAAAGCAGGATCTCCTTCAGTTAATCAAACCTAATTTACACGTACGAAGGGACGTCTGATTGGATGGATCGTACACACGCATAAAAAAGAAAACCAAAATCACATCAAATACATCAATGCTGACAAACTGTTTTTTGTTTTTTACTTACAGCAAAGAAGAAGACACAGTGGAATAAGGACAGAGGGGTGACATGAAGGACAAGAAGGGAGGACGGGGAACACGACATAAAAACTGCATGAAATGGAACGATTTACAGATTTGAGTCTTTTGTGACTCCACCAGCACATAAAAAAGCAGCTCGAACCTGGGAGGTGGAGGTTTCTTTCTTTTCTTTTTTAAACCTAAAGTCTGGAAGTTTGAGGCACTGTCAGAGAAATGGCAACATGACAGGAGGCAGACAGAAGAATCACAAACCAAACAGATGTCTGTATGTACAGGGCAGCTCTCTTTGTCGTAAATTTAAACTGTCGTGTTTGCCTTGCTGATCGGTTTGGAATAGGGCTGCCACGATTAGTCGACTATCAAAATCGTCGACGACTGAATTAATAGTCGACGCGTCGTTTGAAGCTTTGTAAGATCCCAAAAGACGCAGGAATAATAGCAGGATTTAAGAGTGTAATAACGGACTGAAACAGAAGATGGCAGCACTGCATGTACAAGGATGCCAGCTGCCGTTAAACCCCGAAGAAGAAGAAGAAGCTGTGTCCCAGAATTCATAGCGCGGCCCAGCTCAGTTTCCAACAATGGCGGCAGCTAGTTAGTTTTAATATTACTCTTATTATTCTTTCTGGGTCACAAAATAAACGTTTAACATATTTTCAGGCGAGAATGTAGCTGTGTAAACCTCAAATATCTGCTCAGTTTATCAGGACACCGCATATTTTCAAAAGCGCTCCGACGTTTTCGACGTCTGTTACCCACTAGCTCGATAGCTAGCCGGGGGCTAGGTCACTAGCGCCGTGAGAACACCGGACTCCCGGCAAATTGTCTTGAAACCCACCGCCGTCTTTCACTGCTCAGGTTAAACCTATATAGGTCACTTAGATAACTTGAAAATGTTGTTGTTTGGCTTTTTTTTAGTGTTTTATTTGTTCCTGAGTAAATCGGTTTGGCTGAGATTAAAGTTATAGTTTTTACACAGCTGAATAAACATCAAGCAGACAACTGATTATCAGAAGTGTGAGATGCTGGAGAATTTACTCCGGTGTCCTGTTATACTTTAGATAGCAAGGAGTTTATTAAACTTCACCGAAACAATCTGCAAATTTCATTAACATTTAATAAACTATCATCTTTATTTTTAGTTAGCACAGACCTTACACACTTAAAGCTGTAAGCTAATGATAGTTATATAAGAGCAGATGCTGCTGGTGCAATAAGCTGTAGTTTTACGTCCAATGGATGATGATCTGATTAGTCGACTAATCGCAAAAATAATCGGTGACTAGTCGACTATCAAAATAATCGTTTGTGGCAGCCCTACTTTGGAGTTAAATAAAATGTAGTGCTGGAAAAAAAAGATAATCCTAAAAGACCAAGAGTTTGTTTAGTACAGTGTCTCCCCTTCAATAAATCCTCTGGGGTGCTTTAATCTCATGGTGTTCATAATATAACTACTCACATAATATTGATTCGGTTACACTTTTTAAACTAAATTAAAGTTGGTCTGGGGTCCCTGGGGATCCCAATACAGATCTATCAGGCTCTGTACGAGCATGAAATTCAAGTGTAACTGGTGCGTCTGGAGAGGCAAATCAAACACACTGCTGATGGCGTTAGTGTTTCTCACTCACACATTCGCTGACCCGCTTCATTTCTCCCGCTCCTGGTGCTAACCCAGTACAGAGTATGGCTTCACTGCGTTGATATTGTTCAGGACTTTCTGTCCCCCCCCCAAAACCCCTCCATCAGCCGAGGCATTGTCTAGTCTCAGAAAGGCACGCGACTGAGCTCTGTGGTTCACAGTTTGCTAATGCTCTGGTTCTTCACCTTTCTGTTTAGCAGCACTTTGCATTGATCTCCGTTCCAGAGAAAATGACACTTTGTGACCTTGTCGATAAGATACATATACATATTTACAGAGAAGATCGTCTCCTTATAGCAGAAGGGTCAGTTTATGTATTTGCAACTTGTGCACAGAGGGAGTGAAATGAGATGTGTATGTGTGTGTTGTAGTAGTAGTAAAATGTACAAAAATACCACATGGAAAAGGACACTGAGAAAGACAAACGCAGCAGAGATGATGGTTTATGTATGTGGCCGTGTTTTTCATTTACGAGTGTTTGATTGTGTATTTGCCTTTCTGCAGCTGGGAGATGTACAGCTTTGACTTGGTACCATCCAGTCGTTTGAACCACACCTCATCATTGTTGATGGTGGTGATGATGGCACTGCATGACACACAAAAAACAACAACAACAACGTCAGTGAACAATCGCCCCCCAGTCCTCTCAGATGCCAAAGACGTGTGTGATGACTGTGTGCAAACACACAGGAGGACGCAGCTTCTAAGCAGGAAGCCAAAGTCAAACCTGCTCTGTAATGCTCAGCAGGCTTCTGGTTAGAAAGCAATAAAGATTTAATAGATGTGTCCTAAACATGTTCTTGATTAGTTTATCAGTGTCGTTCAGGGTTTTTGGCCCTCGTCTTTACAACAGAGCCTTGTGGCCATTCATTTATGCACAGCTGTCCTAAATATCCCGCCACAGCATATCAATCACTTTGATATAATCTCTGGACTTGTGACTGGGCAAACTGATTCCTTCCATCACACCTCCACCACTGTGCGTTTGGTATGAGGCATTTGTGCTGATATGTTGGACCTGTGCATTACGATCAAACATCTCCACTTTGGTCTCGTCTGTCCAAAGGACATTGCTCCAGACGTCTTCGCACACCTAAACCCTGCTGCACAGTGAAAGTATCTAAACTGTTGGAGGCATCGTGGTAGCGCTCCATCTTTTAAATACAGTCTATAGTGCAGAAGTGACCTCACTTACTCTCCCTGAGCCGTTAGCTTCCACACTTTCTATAAGCAGAGAAAAAACACTAACACCAAAAAACACTGCTCTAATACAGACATTATACAATCAAGTGGACAGACGGGTTGAAACTAGGATGAGCAGGAGCGAGTAGATGAGCTTAATTGAAAAACAGCAACAAACCATTTCATATATTCCACTGAATGGCCAAAGTTTCCTAAAGACAGTTATAAAAACACATATTTTTATTTTGTTATCATTGGGTTACTTCTGTGTTCCAATCATTGGCAAATAATAGTGAAGAATGAAGAAAACTGACCATAAAACTGGCAGAACAATTTAATAAGTAGTGGCCTAATTTGTGGTTTAATAAGTTTAATAATGAGTTCTAAATCTAAACTAACAAAGAGTGTACACAGATTTATAAATCTGAGACCGTGTGTCCACACTTTGGATCTCACAGATCTGAGCTGCAAACATACGAGCGTTTCATACACCCAGCCTCAGGTGTCTACAGGTCATCCCTGATGCAGGAGAACAAAAATAACTGGATCATTGCGAGTCCAGAGCTGCACAGGAGGACTAAAACCTAAATAACGACATGAACATTTTATCCTTTGACCAGTTAATGAATAGCTGTCCAAGTATATCAGGTGTCTGTGTTTAGCAGTGTTGGTCATGTGAGCACTTCTCCTGGCTTTTATTTCAGCAGCTCATTTGCTGCTCTGACTGGCTCCTTGTTCCAGCATTACTGGAAACACGATTCATTCTACACATGGATGAAACTGCTTGTACTTCTGTCACTGTTGCAGTATCCTTTTACTGTACTACTGTTACATGAGATCTGGAAGTGGAATATACTGTAGATTAGTCATTTCTAACCCTGGTAAAGGGTTTAAAAAAGGACCAGATGTTTAACTGCTTGTAAATTGCTTCATCATCCTTCTGTAAAACATTTCATTCAGTCCTTTATTAGAAGAGCTTCCTCTACGACTGCAGTACAGCAGATATGTTGAGCACCTTTTCTGTGAAAGGCAGACACAGGAAGAATTTGTTCACACCTGCATAAAACAAATGAGTTCCTACTACAGACAGGGAAGTGATGTTCAGGTTCATTACTGAGCTGCTTCCACAGGAAGGATCTCATCACATGGTCAGAGCTACTCCAACTACACTGTCGTCCTCGGCCTGCTGAAGATGGTAGTTCAAGAGCACAGTGCTGGAACACATCTGCAGAAAACAGCTGCATTTGTTGTTACAGTTCTTAATACTTAACTTGGCCCCTGTGTATTTGTATAAGTTTAAGTACATTACCTGTAATAATTATAATAATGGATTGCATTTATATAGCGCGTTTCAAGGCACCCAAAGCGCTTTACAATTTCACTATTCATTCACTCTCACATTCACACACTGGTGGAGGCAGCTACAGTCGTAGCCACAGCTGCCCTGGGGTATACTGTCTGGTGTGCATGGCTGCCATATCACAGCTCTAACTGCTCATAACAGCCACCTGCTTGTTTCGCCACTCAGTGGTGGCGGTAAAAGCGAGGGGGAGGTGATGTGGCATCATTGCGTGCCTTCAACTGACAGCGCATCCTTTCCAGACGGCACACAGGGCGCGATGCAGAATGTGCAGCCACATTCAGCCTCGTAGGCACATTGTCTCCCCAGCATGTGACTAGAGAGCCATTCAGTCACGTAGCCTTGCACAGTGTGTCACGAGCAGACGCACACACATTCAGAATTCATACTAGAAGCTGTTTCCAATAAACCCCCTTCCCACACACCTAGTTGGGTACTCGTCCTTCCTGTTGATACAGATGGCCTGTCCCCTGGAGTACCACTGGTTGTCATAGAAAAGTCGACCGTCCTCGGAGCGTGCCACGTGGTGATGTCTGTCAGGCTTTACTGCAGGCACTGGAGAAGGAGCAGGAAAGAGAGGAAGAGACGGAGAGGTTTCAAGACAAGCGACGGGGACAGAGTAAGGTTAAAAGAAATAAAAAGTCTTCTAAAAAAGGAGGGAGTCTCCTCTGAGCACAAAGTACTGAGTCAAAACTCCTCGTGTGTAAGTGCGGGTTGATCGCCACACTCAGCCAGGTATCGACTGTAACCAAGGACGAGGAGAAACTCTTACCATCCACCTTCACCCTGTGGGGCCCCAGTGATGCCATTGCCTGTGAGGGGAGGACACAGACACAACTTGAAAGGTTAAAATCACAGCTTGGACACATTCAGCAGGTGACAAACTCTGCTTTTCAGAAGAATACCTTTCTTATTGCAGTCCAGTCTTCAAGGATATCCAGGTCTTGCAGCATGTAAACAATATAAGGCCGTGATAGAAGTTGAGGAAAAAAACAGGAAAAACAAACAAAACATTGGTTTTAACAGCACGTCTGTGTGTGGAGATGAATGAGACAAGGACAGAACAGCAGCGAAGGATATCAGAAACAACAACGGGCTTCTTCTTCTTGACCGGGCAGAACGGGTCCTTTTTCTTGTTCTTCCGTGAGTGCAATCCATCATTCCACAACTCTGCAGAACGGAGAGAGAGCGGAAAACAGCTGTGCGTTTGACCACTTCCTTCTACACTGCTCAAAACAACACATCAGATTCAACAAGGATCAAAATCATGCTGGATATCTATACTCATAAGAACAGGAAGGCTCCACCAGACAATGTCCATCCCTCAGGCCACCTGTGTAGGATCACCTACGAGCAGTGACACTGACCCTGGTCGAATGCAAAACTAGTGAAACAACAGTCCTGTTTTGGGGTTGTCTGTTTTGAAACAGTGTAGATTTAACTGACAGTAAACTCATCCGATGTCATTACTTGGATTATAAATCAGATGAGCAGTGCAGCTGTGGGTCCCCGCAGGTCATCACAAGGATTGCAGAATTAAAGCTGTACCCGTCCATCTTTTATTTACAGTATAGTACAGCTAGGCAACCTAAATGTGAGTCACCATCAGTGTTGGTCAAGTTACTTGAAAAATAATGAGTAACTAATTACTGATTACTTCCCCCAAAAAGTAATCCTGTTACTTTACTGATTACTTATTTTCAAAAGTAATTAATTACTTAGTTACTTTTTAAAAACACGATTTACAACCTGAATAGGTGATAAAGCGATAGATCTTTCAGCCCAATTCTACTTTTTCTGCATAATCCATCATACAAAATGTAATCAAATGGAAAAGTCTCTTTTTAAAACTTGTTTTATTAGTTTTAATCTTTTAACTTTATGCATCAAGCAAAATTTAATTATCTGCAACATTCTCTGACTGGAAGAAATTAGTTTAACATTTAAACCTATTTTCTGCACATTCCAGCACATAAAATAAAATATTTTGTGTGTTTACACTCAGTCTTTCAAATAGATGCAAGTAAAACACAGCAGAAAATAAATAAAGTCAAAGACTCAGCGGTCCTGTTGCTCTATTTTCACCTGTAAAGCAGGAGTGGGGTAGGCGGAGGGTTACCCTGGTGCAGGTGTGCCGCGGTCAGTGGAAGAATCCGCGAGTTTCTCTGTGAGTTTCCCATTACGTCGTAGCTACTCGGTGCTTGTTGGAAGTTTAGGGGTTTTTTCGCTGTAAAAAGAAGTTTTCTTCCCACGCACAGCGGACACTAATGTTTTTGTCACTTTTTATGGAATCAAACTCAAAGTAAGGTCAGTACTTCCACGCTTTAAACGCTGCACGCTCATACTCTCTCTGCACTCGATATGTGATCCATTGTTGATCTGCACACAGCTGTTGTCACGAACGTCGCACTCGCTTACGTCACTGTCATGAGACATTCTCGCAATAAAATCACGGTTTTAGTAACGCAGCATTCCTACAGGAAAGTAACGGTAATCTAATTACCGTTTTTGCAATAGTAATCCCTTACTTTACTCGTTACTTGAAAAAAGTAATCGGATTACAAGTAACGCGTTACTGCCCATCTCTGGTCACCATAGACCCAACTTCTGACAAATGTCTGGCAATTCCTGACTAAACTCTGGATAAATACCTGATAAAAATACAGAATAATAAAAAAAGATGTTCTTGTTGCTACCTGAGGTAATGTCGATACTGTGCCTGTCTTCCTCCAGTCTTCTGATCTTTTCCTCCAACTCACTCTGCACAGTATCAAACAGCAGCAACTTCTCACTCTAGAAGGCAGAAAACACACACACACACAACAATACTGAGCAAAAATGGTCAAATAGCTTAAACTAGTAGGATTGAGTTGAATTTACTCCGCAATTAAGCAAAACATCTCAAAAATCTAAAATTACAGACGTATTTGAAACTTCAAAAGAAAGAAAAAAGATAAAGAATTCTCTGTTTTTGAACAAGATGTATTTTAACTTGGCCTCTCACCTCCCAGTGCTGGCACGCTGCTTGGATCTCACACTCGTATTTGTTCTTTACTGACTCCAAGCACAGCTCCCTGTAGATCCCTGGAAAAAAATCATACAAATCTAATCTGCAGGAAGGACAAGATCCTTTTCTGCAGCTGAGAGTCGTACATAAAGGAGGTGATAGTATTTCAAAGTTTATATTCCCATTTAAAATGCCAAGAAAATATAGTGAACCCTTTAAATGATCAGGATGTCTACACATAAATCAAGATCGATACACACGTGCTTGAAGCACAGATGAAATCTGTGGAAATCTGAAAAGAAGCTACAGAAACGCTCTGATGGAGATTACTGCTGTTAAACAAGTTCACTTCAGGGATGCACCTAATTTCTCCAGCCTGCATGATTCAGTATTGTTCAGTCAGACCATCTTTGCTTGGACTTGTGACTTAGATGGAGGTCAGACCTTATTTTGTAAGTAATATTTGCAGAAATACTGTTAATCCAACTGGGTTCACAAACTACAATGTAAACTTTGTATGTCAAGGTCACAGTCAGACCTATACGTCTCCATGACAACTATAGACTCACCGGCCACTTTGGTCCTGATCTGCATGTTCTCCTGCAGGTTGGCTAAAGGTTCCAGATACTCTTGGGCACAACCGGCCATGACCTCCTGGAGCTTGATGTCCACCTGGCTCAAACGCTCCTTATACAACCTGAACGGCAGATAGTTGCATTTTAAAACCGTGTTGTAATGTCTGTTGTCAAACCCATTTTAGAACTGATGTATAAATGTGACTGGCATGGCCCGGCCCGGTGAATGACAGGTAGAAATCTCTCCAAATATGACATAAGTAAGTACCTGGACTGGACAGTAATAACCCAGGAATGACACAGAATCCAAAGGCACACTGGAGGTCTGTACTGTGAAGCAAGATTTGGGGCTTATCGATGCAAATCCAGGTTCACCCTTTGGGTTTTCAGTGTTACGAGGGTGTGTTATGACTCACTTCTTACTGGGGAATTATGCTTCAGCAGGAAATCTATGGCATAACCTGGTGTGAAATGTAGCACCTCTCTAGAAATGGAGCTACACGACCAGTTGAGGCAGCCCACAACTATGGCGACTGGCCTTCAGCACTGATTGCTGACACTACCAGAAGGGCTGTGGGACAATGTCCAAAGCAGTGGGAAAACTAGAGGGACAAAGATGTTAACCCTGGAAAAACCGACCACAACAAAGAGCGGGGGACGACGGAGGGAAGAAAGGACATGGTAAATAGCATGTAATGCACTAGCACAAGCATAAATGTTTCAATGACATCGGCCACTTGTATAGGTTATGTCGTAGGCTCAGCAAAGATCATGCACAGAAGTCCCAGTCAGGTCATGGCGGGGTACATTGCCATGGTAATCTACAACCTCCTCCAGAGCAGGTTATGTCAGTCATTCCTGTAAACTATCCTGTGTGAACTTCAGTGTGCAGATAGTGAGCGAGTCTGCAGTGTTTATAGCTGTGTTTGAGCATCACTACGCTCATGTCTCCCCCTCCCTGTAACAGCTGGGATAGTTTCCAGATCTCGCTCCACAAACCTCTATGTTGGGGCAAACTGGTAGATGGCTGCATGGGTATGTTGAACTTATTTTGTAGTATAGGCCTCTGGACTCACAGCCTCACAGCATACTGGAACACCATTTCAGAACCAGTACTTTATACAAACTGCCTGAAGGCAACAAGACAAATCCATGATATTGACCAGTAATACTGGCTAAAATGGACCAAGATCCACGGTCCATGTCACTGGGAATATCCCAGTGAATCTGACAAACACCTCAGAGTGTGAGTCCCAGATGTCAGAGCTGCTTTCAGTGTGAAACATGTCAGAGAGCTTACTGTTCCTTCAGGTCAGTGAACTGCTTCTCCAGTGTGGTCATCTCATCCAGGCACTCCATCCTCCTCCTCTCACAGTCTTCATCGTCCATCTCTGTTCACATACAGACATGACAGCTTTGACAACCCCTCCACACCACAACTGCTTTTTATCCTCATCCACATGACAACCCCACACTGCACTTCACACCCAAGCAACCTGTCAGCCCATTTTTAAGAGAAATCACGCGCACTGCTAAACATATCAATTACACTCGAGTATGTAACACGAGTTTAACTGTTGGTTGATGTTCAAGGCCTATTTTTCCCACCCGAGCTGTCTCCATCTTCAGACACGGACGAGCTAACGGTATCCTCCTCGTCTGTGGTGCTGCCGTCTTGCTCGGGAAAGTCCACCTCCATTTCTTCGTGGTTGCTTTCTTTCTTCTCCCGCGAGTGGACCGGCATTGCGACTGTCAGATAAGCCGGTGTTAACGGGGTGGCACGGCCTTTCTTCAATGTTTCACCCCGAAGAAAGAGCCAAATGCAGCGGTAGCTAACCGGCTAGCTAGCCCGCATCTACCAGCTGGAAATACAAACATGGCCACCGTCAACCAATCATAAGGCGCTTTACTGAGTTTGTCCAATCAAATGCTTCTGTGAACGAGCTTGCGACCGGAAGCTTGCAGGGATTTGTAGTCTTTAAAAAAAAACTTTTTTCAAAACGTCTCTTTATATCAAGTCTGTTGTGAGGATTAATTCTTTATTTTGTCCATAGATTAATTCTTGTACACTTAACTTAAACATTAACTCCTGACAGCAGTTTAGAGACTCTCACACAAATGCATCTATATTTATATTTCATGACAAGCACCTTTTGTTAATATTACAAATCTTTAATTGATTTAGACAGGCTGGCACTGCAGTCTCTGGTGCTGATCAAAATCCATACCTTTAAAAAAATTGTATCCTTTTCATTTTCTATCTTTGGAGGTCATTTTTTTAACCCATAAATCTACTATAACTAGATGCTACTTGTAGTATCTAAGCTATACTGTTACTGTATTAGTTTTTCTTTCCTATTTTCTGTCTGATAGTTACACAGCCACATTTTCAGATAATAAGTTTAGTGTATCTGGACGTATTTGTGTAATCCCAGACTTCAGGCTTCTGTGAATGCACCAATACAGACAGTTTGTGATGGGCAGCCAACCAGAAGAAAGTTGGCTAAAGTAGCCCAAGGAAGGGAGAGTGGTTAACCAGCAGGCACATGGGCGGCCAAGGCTCGCTCATGACTGTAAGGTTGTGGCGACTGACCCGTGTGGTCCGATCTAACAGATGAGCTAACTCAAATGACCAAAACAGTTAATGCAAGTGTCAGAATACACCGTGCATCAGTTTGTTGGGTCCTGCCATCCTTGTTGATGTTACTCTGACACGTACCACCTACCTAAGCATTGTTGCAGACCATTAACATGGTTTCATAGAAACTGTATTCCCTGATGGCTGTGGCTTCTTTCAGCAGGAACAGCGCACTGCCACAGAGCAACAATGGTCTAGGAAAGGTTTGTGGAGCACAACAATGACTTTGAGGTGTTGACTTGGCCTCCAAATTCTCCAGACCTCAATCCAGTCGACCATCGTTTGGATGCGATGGACAAACAAGTCTGATCCATGAAGGCCTCACCTCACAGTTTAAAGGATTTGCTGGTAAAATCTTGGTGCCAGATACAACAGCACACCTTCAGGTTTAGTGGGTCAGGGTTGTTGTGGCATCTAAAGAGGGACCAATATTAGTCAGGTGGTCATAATGTTATACCTCATCAGTGTGTAAGTCAACTGTAGGGGTTTATAAGTTCCTCCAAATGGTTATTGTGTTGCCCCTTTTCTTTACTTCATAATGCAAATCATCTAAACGAAACTTCTCAAACATCCTACGAGCTGTTGGAAAAGTATTGTGGGAAGTGTTGTTAATGCTGATTTTATCTGTTGTCACGCTCTGTTTTGTAATTTTAACTTATTTTATGTATTTTATGACTATTGTTCCTTTTATTAATTGTGTTTTTTGTAAGGTGACCTTGGGTTTCTGAAAGGCGCCCTCAAATAAAATGTATTATTATTATTATTATATAATAATAATAATAATATAAAAAGCATGTAATATAATATATTCAATAACTTGAACTCACTCAAAAGGCAAGATGACATTTTGGTTAGATCACGATTAACCTTTAAGGCTGTTATTTCCACCTTAAAGCTGTAAAAAAAACCCATCTCAACAGAAATGGATACTATTCATGTTTCTTTGTGTTGTTACTTGCACTTAAATAGTAAATACCACCTGAGTTATGGCTCTGTGAAGTGTTTTCACAGGAGTTAAAAGTAACTCACATCTGCAGGGAATATGAGAGCTGCAGGTGTGGAGCTCTAATGAACATGGAGACTGGAAGCACAGAGAAAGTCTCACCGGAGCTGACTCATGAATGACAGCGTGTTAGTCCTGCAGGTCTGGACCCTTTATTTGGCTCTGGAACCAGACAGGTTCCAAGCACCCGGTGCAGCTGCAGGAACACATTGCAGAGGTGTTAGAGAGCCTCTGCAAGCTGAGTGGCAGATGATTCAAGCACCTCGGGGTTCAAGCTGTCACGGCTCGACGCTTGACTCTATTCTCACTCACCTGGGTGGCAGTGATGGATGACTTGAGGAGCGAGAGGAGGCTGCAGTCGTGATGTTGTGTTGTGCGGTGATGGACAGTCGGAAGAATGAAAGTAGTGCATTTTCTTTTACTGGAGAAGATTTCAGCACTTCGGTAAAATAAAATCAGTACATGCCGAATGGTGTTCAATTACACTGTTTAATATTTGCACATGCAGGGATAAGAGACAAACCCCATACAGGCTTTCATACAGATATTAAACTTAGGTATTTACAGAATAACCACCATGAAATTGCAACCTTTAGAAGACAGAAACTAAGCCAGAAAATGTGATTACCTGACAAGAAGTTGCTTTTTAACGCAGTTTAATGATCCCTCACTTGTGATAGTATTGTCTTTATTTTGAGCTCCTTCGGTTATTAATTTACTTGTTGCCAGGAGAGATCTGTGCACAGCTCTCTTTGACTAAACAGTGATCCATTTGTTGGAAATGTAAACGCAGCTTTTTGATGTCTGATGAAAATGGATTTTGGTGTCCTGTAATGAGGTAGTTTACGTTTTTTAAACATTTGCTTTCATGAAATGTACAATATTCGACTTAGTATAGTGCTGTACACAATATCCACTCAGAGCCCACAATCTTCACCTTTCAACCACACGAGGGCGATAGAGGCCTTTGACGGTGGTTCTCCAAAGCTCCTCTGTTCTTGAAATCACTCAAGTGAAAGAGAAACAATTAAGAATAATGATAAACTCAAACAAATAAAATAGTACACAATTTAACTACGAATAGCTGATTGCATTACACAATAGACAAATAAACTTAATATGCTTGCTGTTGGCTGCACAAATGGTACAAAAATATGAAACAGCAAAGCTCTACCCAAGACAGGGATTGTGAATTTCTTAACCCTTTAACAAAAGTCTCAGGATTAGGCAGGATTTTACCTGAGAGTACAGTCAAAAGCAGAGGTGTAACAACTCCACAGAAAGATGGTGATACTTGTTTGGCTGTGTTGCACAAACCAATGAGAATTAGGATACAAAGAAATCCAGTAAGCTCATACCCTGAACAGTTCAATCTAATTCACCGAATTAAACAAAGTTCAAGAGTATTATCAGTAGTAACCATAAAATACATGGAAATATGTGAACGGCATGTCGCTGCACTGGACCACTCCCTCCATGATCAGTATTTGGCATTTGATGACTTTCCTGCTTTATCATTTTCCATACATACATTCTGTTGTTGGCTCTTATTCAGCTGCCATATGTTGGGAGGCAGACTACACCCTAGACAGGTCGCCACTCTGTCGCAGGGCTAACACAGAGAGACAACCGTTACAGTCAACCTATGATTTAGAATCACCAATTAAATCAACCCCTCTAACTGCATGTCTTTGGCCTGTGTGAAGGTGGAGAACCAACGCAGACACAGGAAGAACAACTCCAGACAGAAAGGCCCCGGCCATATGGGGGATTTGAACCCAGGACCTTCTTTCTGTGAGGCAACCGTGCTAACTATTGCATCTTGTTCTGTACGTTAGGAGTAAAAAACCCCATTAGGTGCTCGTTGTGTTTGTAGGAGTAGCAATTTTTGTGAACTACAGATGAACCGGTGGGATGACGGATGTGTCACGGCGTGGGCTCGTCTGTCTTTAGGCCGGTTGAGCTAAAAATTACATTCTGTGTCTTTCCTCAGATTTTTTTTTTCCACAGTGGCGAAGGATGAGATCTCAGAGAGGACTCGGGAACACACGATCCGACTGCACTCACACCGCATTTTTATGTTTAGCCATCATGAATAAAGAGGGTCACCTGAATAACAATGTCTCACATCCATTTTTGCATTGTAAACAAGTGGATAGTGTGTCCCATTGTGGGATGGCATTATTGGCTTTCCTCTCATAAAGGTTGACCCAGTGTATCATATGCTCGGGGGGATAAGAAGGAAGGCAGTGGGTGAGCTTTCAGGGAATTAAACCGGTTGTTTTCACAGTCAGCTGATTATTAGGCCTCAAGGTGACGGCACATGGCTATTTTTAGGGGGCTAAAGAGGTGTGTTAAGTTCCCCGTGTAGACATTTGTAACATTTCTGCACTATCAGGAAACAGACAAGAAAAACCGTTTAATTTTTAATGTTCTTTTAAAGTTACATTAAAGTCATTTAATGAGCTTTTATTCTCTGTGTGGTGGCTGCACATGCAGATCTACTAACAATGTCAAATAATACATACTGCTGCATTTTTTTAAAGGCAATTTTTGTACCGTCACATTCAGGCCCAGAAACTCAAGCCTGGCCTCCATGAGGTATAAATGTCAAGAGCGCAATAAGAACCCTCTGATACGACCTGCAGAGGGTAAAGCCCCAGAGACAAGCTGCTGCCCATGTAACAGTACAATAAGCACATTAAGAGAGTGTTGATCCCTTTGGCTCAGTTCACTCTTTATCTGTGGAAAAAAGAAGAAAGAAAAGTAAGCAAAGATTTTTCTAATTTAATCTGGGCCTCGTCTTGAATCAGTGCATTTGTGTTCATAATCTATAAGCAGCTGTGATTTCAGTTGTTCCTGGCCTGCCCTCTGTGTCTATTAAGTCCTTCTTTGGAACTTCCAGTCCTTATCCACATCCACAGCATCCTCTACTGGCCACATTGCCATATTGGTCTTGGTGCTATAGTTGCTTTGATAGTGATAATAAATGATTAATCAAAACATTTAAATAACTGTAGATAAACAAGATTCCCCCCCTTCCTTTCCCCCCTTATCTCTTGAGTTTATCCTTTATAAATCATCTTAGTTTCTCCTTTATTTTTTAAGCCAGTTGTTCATGATTTCCACATCTCGGATGCAATCTGATCCATTCCATGCTTTCTAACTGCACTGGACGTCTCTCTGTGTCTCCTGTTACTGTGTTACTGCAGCTAGACTGAACGGGGAGGCTGTAGCAGATCACAAAG